ATCAGAGTTTAAATTTCGGACTCGATGCAGCAATTAGGCCTTGTCGTTGTACTCGGTGGAAGAACGGTATGACGCTACACGTACACTCAAGAACTCAATCACCCGATACGTAGTTGCTACGTCGCAGTTCCTCAGGTGTATGCGTAGACGGACGGGCGCCATCAAACCTCTTCCAAGCTTCCAGAGGTAGTTGAATCCGAAGCTCGAAGACAGCCCCTGCATGCCATGCTCATCCCTCCTTCCTCCTCCTCCTCCTCCTCCTCCACCTCCTCCACCTCCTCCACCTCCTGATGCTGCTGCTGCTGGCCGCCTTTATCATCATCGTCACCCTCATCTGCGGCACCAGAAGCTGCATCTCGTCGCCATCATCGTTTATCGTCATTACCGCAACCAGCATCATAATCACGAATGAGGATAATAATACTCGTTACAAAAAGCTATTTTCGTCCAATTCCCAATCAGCACCACAACCCTCATTACAAAATCATCTTCGTAGCGACGAAAACAATGCTCAAAGCGCTGGTCCGCGCGTCTTATCGAGGCAGCCGAGACCGCAACATTGTCGTCGAGATGTGGTCTGATGTATGATCGGCTCCCCGGGAGGCCACATGGTTCAGCTAGCTCAAGGAGCACCCGTGGCTCCATCAATCTCAACCCAGCAAACAGAGCTAGGACATCTTGCCTCCATCAATCTCAACCCAGCAAACACAGCTAGCACATCTCTTTAGTGGATGACACATACAACCCATTCATTAACTGCTGATGCCAATGTCAGGGGTTGGCAGTGGCAATCCACGCAAACGCAATGAAGAAAGAAACACGAAGCAGGCGCCATTGATGCGCCGACCGGCCAACGTTCTAATAGAGCACGTCGCATTATCGACGATGATACTAAGTCGATTTTAGCAACTCGTGCTTTCTTTTTCAAGCACGATGCTGTCGATTTTTAACAGCTCGTAGTTTCTTTGAGTACGGTGTTGTTTGCGGGCGGGTTTCTGAGTATGGTGTTGTTTGCGGGTTTCGTCATCGTCATTATGGAACTCGATGTCTCTTCTGCGGTCATTCATCAGCGCTCTACACGCAGTAGCAGTGGCCCCTGCATGAAACGAGACGACCAACAAACAACGACTACATGACACGACGCCTTCCCGCGCGACGACTCAACAAATCCAGACTCGATTCGCACACCGGCGAGCCTCCTGAAGGTTTTTAATCATCACCGCCTAGGCTTCCTTTCTCCCTCTCCTAATACAGCCTTCATTGTTTTCGAAATGGGATGAGGTCGAACGTAAGCCCAAAATATTGGTGTTTCCAAGAAACACGCCTCGCCGGTCAGCATCTGGCCTTCCGCGCAACGGAGATGCAGATCGCATCAGGCCTGCACCTTCATGGCCCAGACGGCCACATACAGACGGGCCGGGTTCGGTACAGGCAAATACCAAAAAGTTGAGCTTATGTTTGACGTTATCCCTTCTACAGATGGAGGTTGCGGATGGATGAAGAAGGAGCAGGAGGTGAAAGACACCTCAGAAGCCCTTAATTTGTTGGCAAGTAAGGATCAGGACTCAGCAATGGCGTTGACACGTAAGAAAGGCGCATCCGCAAAATATTGTCGACCAACCAGCAAGGTGCACTACCCTCTGGCTTCAAACCGTCGAGTTAGCAGTGCGCCCTGCAACTCTCACTCAGACCCACATCCACTCCACACAGCGAAAAGCAATACATCTGCCAATTGCCTAACTCCTCCTCAATCGCACCACGGCAGGAGTCTTGAACCTACTGCATGTCGTAGTCAGCCTCGTGTTTTCATGTTCATTTCTTCGTCATCTACTGGAAACATATCAATCCTGAAGTCCCCATCCCCCAGCATGATACTGACGATGGTCGACTGCGACTACGTACTACACAGCGAAACTCGTTCCTTTCCTGAAGATGATCACAAGGACGACCACGAGAACGACGATGACAACCCTCATGCACAAGACCGTCAGCTGCTAACGCCCAGGAAAGCGACTACACTCGCGATGCTCATACGTAATAATATAGTAATGACGATAGCGATGACGACGCTCCGAGGACTGTGATAGGTGGTTGCCATTCCGAAGGCTGCCTTCTTGGCTGGCTGATTGGCTGGTAGCTGGTCTTCCAGCTGGATGGGTACACGGATGGATGGATGGATGGATGGATTTTTCTGACGAACATTCGCCAGCGGGAGCCCAGGGCCACGTCACATTGCACGGACGGCTCTTTTGTGTTCCACTATTTAATAGAACTGTAAGGAAAATCCACACAACTAGGACTCCACCATACTTGGTTACCAGACGCTGTGGAGGCGAGGAAAACGTCTGAAAAAAAACGAAAAGGACGGACGTGAACCAGGGAACCCGCGGTCACGACTGAGCCTAATTCGAAAAAGTGATAACCCCTCGTAATGTGCATGATACGGAGAAGGAAGGATTATTATGAGCGCTGCGCATGCAACAATGACAACCACAAGGCGAGACGGAACTTCGTGTCCTCCAGCATCACTTAGCAGTCAGTTATGCATATGTCCTGGTAACGGCGGCGGTTCTCCTGTGAACTGCGCGAAAGCAACAGAAAGAACACAACTTCGTCATTGCGACCGTCATTCTTGCTGAGAACGGGGAGGGAAAGCAACAGAAAGAACACAACTTCGTCATTGCGACCGTCATTCTTGCTGAGAACGGGGAGCCCTCCAGCAGTCAGTCATTGAGCAGTACTGAAAATGGTGACAGTTCTCATGTGACCTCTGCAAAATGGTACAGCCTTTGCGAAAATGGGGATCCTCACGCCCATTGAAAGGCTCCCTCTGCATTCTCCTTCGTCTCTTGCATTCGCGGGAGGTAGAGTGAAAATTTGCCTAGAGTAAAATACCATTATACTCGGGGAGTGAAAAACTTCCGCAAGGAATTACTAATCGATGTCGGCTACAACAATCCTAAACATCCTCACTTCTGATTAACCATTCCTCTTTTCAACCACTACTCCCGTCTCGCGACCAGGATACCACCCCTACTAGAGGTTGGAGGCTCGGCCAAGGACACTCAACCTAAGCTGCCCTTTTCGGCATCCTCCTCTCTTCTCATCTTCTTGAACTTGAGTTCTTCTGTCCTTCCCGCTCTTCCCCCTCTCCCTCCCCCCCCACCACTCCACCACCAAGAAAAAAAAAAACAGGCTTAACAACTATTCTGCGCATTCACCGACCGACAGAGTAGTTAAGAGCGTCGCGGCCGGATAGCAGAGTAATCAGGCATACCCTCCGGTTGGGAAGGGAAGACAAAAATCACTTTGGTTCATTTACTTGCTTGCGCTTTATCTCAGTGAGCTCCATCTCATTGTCGCCAGGTGACAGGCCGCTGACACAGGTTTTGTATTTCCACCTGCTCTTCACGCACGGCAGTGCATAGAGGGCAAGTCGCATGCTAAAAATAGTACCACTGCCTCCCAATTGCCGCACAGCAGCCACGTCCGCAACGTCACTCTTTTCACGAAACATTAACTTCCTATAAGAGCATATAACGTTCTCCTCGTTAGCGAACCCCTTTTAGCCTAAGAAATCAGAACAGAATTACAAGATGCAAGCCGCGCCCGACGACCAGCGACACCCAGCCTCAGCATTGCATTCGCTCCCTTCAAGTTCACTTTGCCGCAGCCATCGCGTGCGTGTGAGACACCTTCAGTGATCAATGGGCAAACACGTCCACCGAGTCTCTTCACGGCCAGTACGAACCCAGCGAGTTCACTCCTGAAATGTACGAAATCGAATAAATGAACTACTTCAAATCGACAAATCAATCGCCAACATGGGTTGGCATGCACCGGGCGGTCGCACGTAGAATACCGAATGACTTAACTTTAAATAGACACGTAACTTTAAATAGACACGTCCACCTCACCAAGGTGGGTGTGCATGCGCTGTGCGTGCGCCAGGCGAACGCGCACGCAGTAGAGCGAGCAAAAGAGAGAGAGAGAGAGAGAGAGAGAGAGAGAGAGAGAGAGAGAGAGAGATCAGCCAGCCGAAATGTCTCAACGTCTGCGCCGGTACCACCGGCCAGTTGGGGAAAACTTCGGCAATGGTCCCGCCTCTTGCAATCTGGCTTCGCCAATAGCCAAACAAATGCGCAAATGGCCATTATATCGTACAGGAGAACAACGGCAAGATACATTCGCCATTTTCACAATTGGCGTGTTGTGGGACGACGCCCTAAGTCAAGAGCATATGCCGACGTCGGGGGCATTTAAGCAAGAACGAAAGGGGGGACATTTTTTACTGGTAGCGCTCGGCGTACAACAAGTCTGCACAAAACTAAAGACAGCAATATAAGGGCTTTTCTTACGAAAGCTCACAATAGAGAGCCCCTAGGAAAGTGACAGAACAGACGTGAACAATCACCGTCGCCACTTTCCTTCCTCCCCTTCCTATGCATTGCTTACATAAACGCTCAACAGAAGGAGGAAAAAAACCATGTGGGCATTCGCATGACTCCGATCTCTACCTGTTTCACAATCCCTTGATCTTTTACATCGCCCGTGACCTGCTTATTTTAGCTCGCGACCGCGCTGCGCGCCGGCTTGGGGTCAACTACCTGAACTGCATTAATCAAAGGCGGCAAGGAGCCACACGGTGACCAGTCTGACAGTGGTAAACGGTGGCAACATAAAGTGCGGCAGAATCCGCGGGAGGGGCACGTCCGGAGTGGATGGGAAAAGTTCGGGAGGGGGAAGGGGACTCGGGGCGGCGGGGAACGGTGTGATGGGAGAGTCATGACAATAAGGTTGGCCGAGAGCAAGGGAAGGAGCACGGGGGAGGAGGCGGCAGGATGAGTGAGTACTGAGGAAAAGAATTCAATTTGGCTTTCGCCGTCGCCTTGCTGGCATGTACAGTTCAATGCGGAGACCCTCACAGAAAATAAAGGCGAGCAGAAAAAGGAAACAAAATGACGGAGGTGCGAACAGCAAGGAAAATATTACGCACTTACATTGACTGCTCGGAGCATAGGGAGGTGTGCCAGCCCTTGGAGGGTAACCAGTCGATTCTGCCCAATACGAAGCTCCTCAACCCACGTGGCAGCCTCCAGGCCCTCTAATTTTAAAAGCCTGTTGCCTCTCAGATCCAAGATTCGAGCCCAAGGAAACAATCCCAGCGGAGGCAATCGCGTCAACCCCTTCTGGCAAAGGGAGAGGATCTTCTGCTCCTCCGCGACCTCCCTTTCCGCACCTGTCCTCATCATAGGAAACGCCTCCATATTCAACGCCACCACCCTCTCTCTCTCTCTCTCTCTCTCTCTCTCTCTCTCTCTCTCTCTCTCTCTCTCTCTCTCTCTCTCTCTCTCTCTCTCTCTCTCTCNTCTCTCTCTCTCTCTCTCTCTCTCTCTCTCTCTCTCTCTCTCTCTCTCTCTCTCTCTCTGTCTCTCTCTCTTTCTCTCTCTCCCCGTCTCTGTGTGTGTGTGTGTGTGAGTGTGTGTGCGCGTGTCTGTGCGCCTGTATCAGCGTTTTGTGCGCCTCCCACAGACACGCACACTGTCCGTGCGCGAGTTCATCACCGGGTGAGTCAAGCTGGTGCTGGCTAGTATGCGAGTGAAATGTTGAGCTCCGACACGCTCTCAACGTTAATTGAGGGCGTTTTCAGACAGTTTCCTTATCGCAACCTTCCATCCCGTCGCCGCTGCTTAATTCGTAGGATTATCTCTGCGCTACCCAAGCTCTCTCTCTCTCTCTCTCTCTCTCTCTCTCTCTCTCTCTCTCTCTCTCTCTCTCTCTCTCTCTCTCTCTCTCTCTCTCTCATTCGTGTGAATTTGGCGCGCTCTGTCTAATAGACGCCAACGCCAATCGAACCGAGAGAGAACGCGGCCCGACTACTCCGCTTAGTACAGGACGTAGAGTCTCTGTTCCGTGGAACCGACAGACCCGCCATCGCCGGCCTAAGCCTACAGCATTGATCTCTGCCCTCTTCCTTTTCGTCAGGCATTCTGGGACCTGCGGCGTATCGTCCTGTGCCCCTCTCTACAGTCCCGATATTATTTTCCAACCTTTTCTTTGCAGAGTTCACACGTGCCGCTGACGATAACTCTGAGACGCAAAGAGACAGGTGTGACAGCTCTCGCCCGCGACGGTAAAGACGGTAAACAGACTTCCGCATACACTACCGTACTCCACGAGTCCAGCTCCCGGCTCAATATCTCGAACCGCCAAACGTCCGTTCCCATAAATACTATGCCAAACCAACGTTCCCCCTGATCCAGACTAATCTTGGCATCGAAGAAGATGAGCGAGCGCGGGCTAATGACAGCCGAGAACGACGACCCGAGAGAACGGGAGGCAGATTTGAGACGAGCCGTCCCGCCTATACGGCTGCATCTCGGTGCTGCGTCCTTCGCACGCAAATCTTCGCCCGCCGCTTGGGGCGAGGTCGGTTCTAGTCAGAGAAAGGCGCGAGCCGACTCGGAAGCGCAACAGCGTGTCCAGCCCGCCCACCCATCAAGCCGCACTCCTTCTCGCTCATCTTGGTGATGCAATTGTGCTGTCCAGATCTTCTTTATCAGATCGCCATCTGCGATCAGAGATCTCATCTGCGATGGCCAGAGTAGCAGCCAGGCTTCGAACTTCGGGATGGCCGCTTTGTTGGCACTGAAACCGCCATTCTGCTTATGGGACCAGCCTACGTAGTTCGGCAGCTGGACTCCGGCATTGCTTTTCGTTCCTTCCTCGTTCTCGTTTCCCCGGCGAATCGCCGGACCCTGGGGCCCAAGCAGCATGAGTGTGCTCCCAATAGTTAGAACTCAGGGGACGCCGAGGAACTGTCCAATCCAACAATCGGCTACCACCGTATCTGGCGCTTGGGTCTCATTTCCTCCGCGGAGCTCAACGCCTCGGGCCAACGCTACCATGGAGACGTTTCCCTGCAGAAGTCAGGCGTTGGGTCCGACGTGGCATTCGTCGTCTGTCTTCTGTTTTCAAAACAAGGCCCCCTTTGTCCCTCGCCCGTTGTCCCTCGGGACAATGGAACGGTACACAGAAGAGTAGCATGGCCCCTGCGCGAGGATGCCACGCACAAATCGAGAAATGGTTCACGTTTTCAGAAGGCAGGTGCTGTTTAGTCCGAACAAGCAGGGTGGTTCAACAAGCATAGGCGGTTCGCAGCCGTTAGTGCTAATCACTGGTTGAAATCCTCGCACTCGCCCTCTCGAGCACAAAACGAAAGAGGGCTCATTGCCCTCATGCCGCTGTACCCTGGTGCTGATCCTACACCCTGGTCGTCTGGAACTTCAGGTTCAGTCTGAGGCGCCATTCCACAGGGCGGTCTCCAAAGGGGGGAGGCGATTGAGTGACGTTTGAGTGACTCCCATGGATATCTGGGTGATCGTGTGGACCGACATTAGAGGGAGGAAAAGCAAGGCCCTACCAGTACCCTGGTATAACTGGTGACGTGCCTGCAAAAGTCTGACAGAAGCAAGAGACCATTCCTCAGGACGTTTGAAAACGCCCTTAGGAATAGGCTTCCAAGGACCTTTGCAAACGTGCTTCGGGATAGATTTCTTGCACTTTGCTGAGAGTACAGTGGCATGCCCCAGTCAGTTCCAGTGAAGGCAGTCTATTCTCTCAGGTGAGTGCAATCAATGCTGCTCTTCTTTTTTTTTGGTCCCCTGTCTTTTCAACCGTTTCCCAGCCAATTTTCTAGGACGACTGTGCATGCAGCCATGTCGTGCAGGATGTACCGGGGTGCCGTTTCGCTGGAAATCCATCCATCCGGGAAAACGGGTCACATGCAAAGCCGGATTTGCACGTATGGTTTTACAGCAAAACAGCACCCTGGTACGTTGTGACGCCCAACCTCACGCCCAGCGCAACTTCCTGATCGGAGTGGGATGGGGGCCCGGAAGTGCGAAAAAGGGGTGTGCCAAGGATTTTAGGATAGTGGGGGTGGAGTTCCAGGTCAGAACTGAAATCTCCTGTGGCAAGCCTTAGGGGCAGTTATGCAAGATAGCAAGCGCGAACCGCGTCCGACTTTGATGCCTTGGGGGATGTCATCGCCATCCCCGCGAGTTTCGTTGTCGAGGCCGGTGTCAGACCAAATACCCTTACAAGGGTATTTGGCCATGTTTTTACTATCGACACGTCGATTGCATCGACCACCATGACGGAGCCGGACTGGAATGGAAAGGCTGTGCACGCTTTAGCGTGACACTCGAAAACCAGTCCCTCGGCCGACGAGGCTGGGGTGGATCGGTGAGAAAATTTCATTTAGCATGCGTGCACGTTGTTATGACGCGCGCTATAATGATTAGGATCCGCAGCAATACCCCTCGACCGAAAGCGGTTGAGGGATCAATAGGCTGATGTTATGATAAGTAGATCTACGAGGCACGCTGAGACCTGGGTTGGTCTCAGTTTACCTACTCGGCCTCGACTACGTGGCATATCTACCTCTACTTGGTGTGGTACCGGCCCACCTGTCGCTTGAGTATCTTCCGCGGCTCTTACCTGTCGCGGGCCTCTTTGCTGACACTTGAGTGTTTACCCCGCCGCGACCCTCGATGTCGCAGCCACGGCTAAGTACAGGCCCTTCGGGCCTTCCGATGAAACACGTGCCCTTGCGGGACACGTACGCGCTCAAGGCGACAGACATTCAGATGGGCACACGGACCAGCAAGCGTGCACGCACGCACAAACTCAGAAATAGGCACGGACCATTAGGTGGGCGGAGCCTTAATCCTCTATATTTACCTGAGCTGCCCCTTTCTTAACAAGAGTAGGAGCTAGCTCAGTAGGTTTGGGGCTAGACTATCAGGCGACATACTCGGGGATTGAATCTGCTCGGCCCCTGAGCTAGCTCCTTTTGGCAAGGAGCTTAGTCACTCTTTACCCTACACTGAGAAGGTCGGGACTCGAACCCGCGACCTACGGATTAGGAGATAGTTATTGTTAGTAGGATTAGTTGGATTTGAGCCTCTGCTGTAACGTGGCCTGCCACTTGGCAGACTAAGAATGTTATTAGTTAGATTCTATAGTTTTCTTTTATTTTTTATTAGTTATAATTAGATTCTTCTTTTTAGTTACTTTTATTTATTTATTTATTTATTTTGTTTTGGGTTGTCTTTTCTTCCTTTCTCGTACCTCACGAGATTCATCCGCTTCGATGAATCCGCAGCAAAATCATGGGAAAGTTCATTCTCATCGTGGCCATGGGTACGGGGCTTCAAGCTCGGCCCGCTCGGTACTATCCCACGCCTCGAGAAGGCTGGATCGCGAGACGGGGAGCTCGCCACCTCGGAGTCTAGACTGAGGAAGAACTCCGAGCGGAGCCGAGGTGGAGAGGCCACGCGAGAGAGGAATGCTGGCAGTAAGACGGGGGCGACGAGAAGAAGAAAAAGAAGAAGAAGAAGAAGCGGTGAGCGTGGGAGAAAGAGTGCGCGGAGAAGAAGAGGCAGCAGCGCAAGCGAGGAGCGCTGGCAGTCAGACAAGCGCGGCGACAAGAAGAAGAAGAAGAAGAAGAAGAAGAAGAAGAAGAAGAAGAAGAAGAAGAAGAAAAAAGAAGAAGAAGAAGGAGAAGAAGAAGAAGAAGAGAGATGAGGTGAGGGCGCCTTACCTATCAGCCGCCCGACTTGTTGAATCGCGCGCCTATGTCTGACGGCCTCGTGCTAAGGTCACAGTTGGTTGCACACCATGGCGGGGCGTGTGGCACTGTGAGAGAGAAGACGACCACCAACGGCGACGACTGGTGCAAACGAGGACGACGTGCGGACGACGACGACTGACGATGACGACGACTACGACAAGGACGAAGTGAGAAAGAACAGGTAACTCGCCTACCTCACAACTTACTTTCCGAATTAAAACGAATGAACCTACCGCTATATCGTGGGTGTATACACTACTGTGTGCGTGTTTTTGGGAGAGTGTGTATGTATGTGTGTGTATGTGTGTGTATGTGTGTGTGCAAGTGTGGGTGTGTGTGGGTGTGTGACCAATCGCACAGGCTCACCTCACGCTACTCCACCGAGAGGAGGAGCTAAATCGAATGAATCTCCTACTACAACATGGCAATATACACTGCTACATACACTTTAGCCCGTTTGTCGCGCCTTCGATCCCGGCTCGCCCGCGGGATCACCGTTCGTGAGTATCCGTGAGTGCGCGCGTGCGCTTGTGTGTGTGTGTGTGTGTGCGTACATGGGTGCGTAGGCATGCGTGCATGCGTGAGAAGTGTGTGTGTGTGTACGAGAGAGAGAGAGAGAGAGAGAGAGAGAGAGAGAGAGAGAGAGAGAGAGAGAGAGAGAGAGAGAGAGAGAGAGAGTTCTTCCTCTTCTAAGTCCATCATCTCTCCTCACCCTCTCGCTACGTGACTTCACTCCGTCTGCAGACTACGGGAAAGAGAGAGATTGGGTGAGATGCGCATCGCCGAACAATTAAGTCTCCAACCCCTGGGGCTGGCATGCATCGATATACGAGCAAAAATTGAATGGATCTTCCGCCAAGGCATGAAAATATGCATACTACACGTGTGTGTGTGTGTGTGGTCTACGAGTGATATGCGTGGTTTATTTGCAGGAGTAGAAACGTGTGACCTGAAGGCGGCCTCTCTCTCGTCGTCATGCAGCAGATGACCGCAACAACGTGTGTGTATATGTGTGTGTGTGCGTGAGAGAGAGAGAGAAAAGGGGGGCGCCGACTGTAGACTCCGAACGGAACTCACCTCCCTGCATGACTATATCGTACGGGGGGGAAATAGTTAGTATACATTTGTCATCACTTTATATTATTATTATTATTATTATTATTATTATTATTATTATTATTATTATTATTATTATTGGTGGTAGTAGCAGTAGTAGTAGTAGTTACTCCTATTAGTATCGTAGTTTGGACCTTCGCAGGAGAAGAAAACGACGCACGCACGACGGAGATAGCGCACGGGGAGAGAAGGAGAAGAAGGAGAAGGAGAAGAAGGAGGAGGAGAAAGAAGAAAGAGGAGGAGGAGAGAAGAGAAGGAGAGGGAAGGAGGAAAAAGGATTCTTACCTGAGTCGGCGATGAGACGACGACAACGGCAATGCTGAGTCGCTGACGGTCGGGTGACGACGACAACGGGAGAGAGGAAGAGAGAGA